CCTGCCCTTCCTTGAGCACCACACAAGCGAGATCTTCCTGCCGGACATTCCGTGCGTCCTGGCCTGCCTGCCTGCCATGTAATTGCCCGGGCTTTTCTCACCCCCGCCCGCTTCCCCCCTCGCCGCTGCGTGCCCGCGCTCTGCCCGGGCCGCGCACCGGCAGTGCGCACTCCCTGGTGACGGTCTTCCGTTTCGCGTATCAGAAAATGTCCTCCAACGTGGAGAGCGCCTCGGTGCCGAACCCGTCGCAGGCGTCGCGCTTTGCTTTCAGCCCGCCGGCGCAGGCGGCCGGCGCGGCGCCCTTCGAGGTCCCTGCCACCCGGCTCGGGTCGCTGATTCGGGCGGCGGACTTCCTGCAAATCTAGTCCCACGTGACCAGGTGGTCATGCCCCGGCCGTGCCTCGCGGCGGAATGGCACTTGTCGGGGGGCCCGCGCACCGACGGCGGCGGCGGCGGCGTGCGGCACAACACATGCGAGCGAGCCGGCACACGGCCGGGAGGGTGCATGCACCTTTTGCAAGGGGGAAGGCACGGACCGGCGAGAGAGTGGGCGCCGGCCGGTGGGGGCCTCTTTTGCCGGGGCATGGTGTTATGTAGTCGGTCAGGGATCTGCACCCCTTCTCGACAATCCCCCCCTCCTCCCCCCCCCCTCCTCCCCTCCGCCCCTGCCGCCTTCTCTCTCGCCCGCCGTTTTTCCCCCCGCGAGCACATGGTATTTCTGTCGCCCATCCTCCGTCAGGCCAGCAGTGCCTGGCCGCACCCGCCGCGTGTGATCCCGAGTTTGCTGTTCTTTGGCTCGGACAACTTCTCCGTGTCCTTCCTGCGCCGGATCATCGAAGATCGCGGTGCGCATATATGCACAAGTGAATGCACGCGCACATGGCGCGGGTATCTTTCCGCGCTGGGTCCCTCTAACTTTTGCCTCCCTTCCCCATGACGGATGGCCGAGCAGATGCGGGCCGGCTGCATATCGGCGAGATCCAGGTTGTCAGCCCGCCGGACAAGGCGTCATCGCGGAAGAACCGCACCAACAATGTGACCCCGCTGAAGCAGTTTGCCCTGGAGCACGGCCTGACCGTGTCCGATGCGCCACATCGCGAGAAGACCCTGCGCAATTGGACCCTACCGGCCCCGAGCGTGGCCGCCGGTGCCTTTTCCCTCGGCATTGTGGCCTCCTTCGACTACTTCATCACGCCGCCGGTGCTGGCCGGGCTCGAGCATGGAGCCATCAACATCCATCCGTCGCTGCTGCCCCAGTGGCGCGGCGCCTCGCCGCTGCAGGTACTCCACTGGCCTTCGGTCTACCTGGGCCCTCTTGTGCTTTGACTGACCATGGCTGCTTCCATGTGCCCGTCTCCCCTGGCCATCCAGCATGCGGTCATTTCCGGCGCCCGGTCCTCCGGCATCTCCATTCAGGAGGTGCACCCGCGGCGCTTCGACGCCGGCAATGTCCTGGCCGCGCGGCCCTTCGTACGTCCAATGTGCCCATCCTGTGTGCCCTCCTTCCCCCCTGCTGCTGCTGCCGCTGCTGCCGCTGCTGCCGCTGCTGCCGCTGCTGCCGCTGCTGCCGCTGCTGCCGCTGCTTCTTCCTTTCCTTCTGCCCCTCTGTACCTAACGGTCCCCTTTCGGTGTAGGATCTGCCCGGGGCGCGGCCCACCTTTGCTCAGGCGCTCGACCGGTCGATGGCGGCCGGGGTTCCCCTGCTGGCCGAGGTCCTGGCCGACTTTGGCACCTTCCGTCAGCGGTCCGTCGATCAGGACGACACGCAGGCATCCCTGGCACCGAAGTTCCCCCCCGGGACCGGGGCCCTGGCCTGGGACCGGCCGGCCACCCATTACGACCGCCTGGCCCGAGGGGTGGGGCACCAGCTTCCCCTGTGGTCGCACTTCCGCAATGACAAGGGGTCGCCCGAGCCACAGCGCGTGGTTTTCCATGGTGGCTTTGATGTGGTATTCTCCGGCCCCGGGGCCGAGGTCTTTGATGCGGAGTACCGCCAGCAGGAGGAGCCCGCTGGCGCGGAGGATGACGAGTCCCCGGTTCACTGGTCCTTGCCGGTGGCCGAGCGCCAGGAAATGGCCGCCTACCTGGCTGGGGTGGGCTCGCGCGGGGGTGGCTCCGGCGGGGCCCTGGTCCCCGGGTCGGCGGTGGGCTTCCGCTCGCGGACCAAGGGCAGCGAGTACCGGCTGGCCATTTGGTGCGGCCCTGCCGAGGGGGAGGCCTCCGTCGGGACGTGGCTCGTTCCCCGGGCGCTGGCTCCGGAGCGCCGGGCCAAGATGAGCCCGACGGTCTTCCGCAGTGCCGTGTCCACGGCGGCCCCCAACACCGGCTTCACGGGCGACCGGTTCCTCCTGCTGCAGCCCGAGGAGGGCGAGGTGGCCGCCACCCCGGCAACTGCCAATGCTTAGAGATAGACAGCCTCGTTGTTTCACATCGCCCTGGGCGTCGTGTGTTTGTGGGTGGGTGTTTGTGGGTGTGGGCAAGTGGTGTGGAGACGGTCTTTTCTTCCGAGCGCGGGGCATGCACCCGGCCAGGCCCCCGAGGTCTGGGGCTCCCCCCCCGGGCGCGTGTGGGGTGGGAGGGGGGCTTTTTCCGGGACCCGGCAGGCGGACGGGGGCGGTCGCGCCCGGGGGCAGCCAGCTCCCCCCCCCCCCCCCCCCCTCGCCCTCCCGTCTGTGTTGTTTGCCCTTCGCTGCTTCTGTCGCCCATTTCCTTTTGCCCTCGCACCCACGACGCACACAGGTGCCGCAATGTCTCGGACATCCTCTGGCCACGAGCCGGTCTCCCCGGTGGCCAGCGACGCGCCCCTCTTGGTGCAATCAGCCTCCTCGGCATCCCTCGAGTCCCCGGCCTCAGCTACGGAGGCGACTGATGGCGGCCCGGTCGACACGCATCACCAGCGCTTTTCGGGCACCGGGCATCTGCCAGACCACGGAGACAAGCCCTATGATCGGTCCTCAAGCATGCAGGGGAACCCCATGTTCGACCAGGCACACCTGCAGAGCCAACAGATGTTCCAAAACCAAGTGTACCAGTACCTGGCGATGCAGGAGGCCCTACAGCGCCAGCAATGGCAGCAGCACCCCCAGCATCCTGCCGGCACTGATGGATCGCTCTTTCTGACGTCGACGCACGAGGCCAGCGCCCAGCCAGACCAGTCGCCAGATCTGGTGGCCTATCCGGCGGCCTCCGGCATCCCGTACCCCTCCTTCCATGGGGCCTATCCCGATGACGAGCCCACGGTATGTACTTGGGCGAGGGGCTGGTTGGTGGTTGTTCTTCCCGGCTGCCTTGGTCTCTGGGTGTGGTCGTTCCCTCCTCTCACTCTCTTCCTCGGCAGTCTCCCCTGCTTGGCAGCCCGGCGCACCGGGGCCCCGGCGGCGATGCGCACTATGCCGACTCGGATGCCGGGGTACAGTACTATGACGCCTTCGACTCGGAGCCCGGGGCCGGCCTCGGCCCGGGGGAGGACATGTACGCTGCCCCGGGGACCGGCAGCAGCATCGGCTTCTTCGACCCCTCGATGCCCTTCTTCCAGGGGTGCCTGCTGCTGCTGATCGCCCTCCTGTCCATCGGTAACAGTTTCCTCTTCGACCTGCCGGCCGGCTTGGAGCAGTTCATCCTGCATGAGATGAATGTCCCCCGCTGGGGGTATGCCTTCTTGTACAGCGCCTACTCGCTGCCGGTGGCGCTGCTTTTCCTGGTGCTCGGTCGCCTGGCCGATCGTTACCTCGGCACGCGGAGGACCCTGCTCCTGGCGGCGGGGTTCCTGGTGGTCGGCCAGTCGATCTTCGTGCTTGGTGCCTACTTCCGGCTGTTTACCCTGGCCCTCCTGGCGCGCATCATGATTGGCCTCGGCAGTGAGACCATCTTCGTGGTGCAGCAGGCCCTGGTGACCTTGCACTTCGAAGGGCGCAAGCTGTCCATCTCGGCCTACCTGATCCTGGTGCTGAACCGCATCGGCGCGGTCTTTGGTCTGTATTCTTCCTTCGGCCTGGCCAATCGCTATGGCTATGTCTTTTCCCTGTCGGCCGGCGTGGTGGTCACCCTGTTGATCTTGCTGGCGGCCATCATCGTGGCCCTGATGGATCGGGCCGTGCACAATGTCATTGAGCTGCGTGCGTGCCGTGGTTTTTTTTTTTTTTTTCCCTCCCTCTCTTCGCTCGTTCTCTGACTGGGCCTGACCTGTGTACCGGGCACACGGGCGGGGACACTGTCTCCGCGCGCGCGCTGTCTCCCCGCCGCTCTCTCTGTCCCCATTCTCCAGCCGTCACCAAGATCAACATCACCTTCCGCAAGCAGCATGTGAAGGATCTGCCAGTGGTCTTCTGGGTGATTGCCATCATGTCGGCCCTCTACTATGCAACCTTCTACAGCTTCATCGCCTTTTCCAAGTGCGCTTCCAACTGCCCGGATCGTCCTTCCCTTTCAACCGGGCCGTCCTGACCCCGCTCCCGCTGTCTCGCTCCCCCTCCTGCCTGCAGTGGTTTCTTCAATGCCAAGTTCCCCCTGGAGAATATCGCCCTCATGACGAGCATCCCCTACATTGTGTCCATCCCGGCAGCTCCGCTGTTGGGATTCGTCATCAACCAGCTTGGCCGGCGCATTATGTGGACCACGGTCGCCGGGTTGCTGGCCCTGCCGGCCTTCTACATGCTGGCTCTGACGTCGCACTCCTCAAAGGTGTCCCTGGTACGCGTGGGCTTGCGCCGCATCTGTCCCTTTGCCTGGTTGTCCCCCTCGAGCATGGGCCTTTCCTCCCCCTTTTTGGGCCGGCACTCGCACCCCTCTCCCCCCCCCCCCCCCCCCCCCCCCAACACACGCACTCACACACGCCGTCGGCATAGATCATCCTCGGCACCTCGTTCTCCATTTTCCTGAGCACCATTTGGCCGATGATCGACATCATTGTCAGCCGGACCAATGTCCGGACCAGCTTCTGCCTGCTTCACATCATCCAGCACCTGACCTTCGCGGTGGTCTGCCCGCTGACCGGCTTGTCCATCGACAAGGTGGGCTATTCGTGGACCTTCATGACGCTGACATTCACCTTTGTCACGATCATTGTCCTGTCGCAGTCCCTCAGCATCATGAGTCTTCTCCGGCGGGACTTCCTCAACTCCCGCACCCAGGAGTACATTCGCAACCAGGTCAAGCAGCAACAGCTCATCCGCCGCCACGAGAACACGTACGTCTCCCTGGCTGTGTGTGTGTGTGTGTGTGTGTGTGTGTGTGTGTGTGTGTGTGTGTGTGTGTGTGTGTGTGGGCGCGCTATCTCCTCCTACCGCCGCGGAATCTGTGCTGACCCCCCTTTCCACCTCCTCTTGCTAGCCAATCGATTGCCAACACCTTCCGCGATTACAGCAGCTTCGGTACCAACCCCCCGCCCGGGCAGCACCTCCACGACGAAATTGTCTCCGGGGCTGGGCACTACCTTGCGACGCCGCACGTGCCGCACCACCGCGCCCCGGTCGACATGTCGTACTCCTCCTCTCACGAAGAGGGGACACACATTCACTCCTCGCCAGCCATGTCCATCAATACCTGATACGACCGGCCGCAATACACCACCTGCCCTTGTCCTCTTCTTTTTCCTCTTTTTCTACTTCTCCTTTTTGCCGACTGGTCAGCCACAGCACTTCGACTGCGCGAGGATGCTTTGGGGTCGGAAGCCAGACGCAGGGCTCCAAAATGAGCCAGGCTCACAGGCCTCATGTTTTCAAGGGGGGCGGGGGGCCCTCGCGTTCGGTGAAGGATGGCAACCGAGGCGAGCCGGGCGAGGCGGGACTCGAAGGCAGAGGACCGACTCGATCCGGGGCGTTGTCATCTCCCGTGTCCCAGGGGAAAGGACCGAGATCACGGACGGAGGCAAGGTCAGGCGAGGCATGGTTGTGGCGAGACCAGGAGACCAGCGCGACACTTCCCCCCAGGCCGAGGAGGCTGCAGGAAGACATCCACACGCAGCCAACCGGCGACGCCTGCAGGAACCACCCGAGAGACTCCCCACAACCTGGCCTCGCCCTGCCGCCCAGAGTGCAGGCTACAACGCCCCTCCGGGCATCGGTGAGGAAAGAGGGCAGGGCTTCGGCCGGCAGGGGGGGGGGGGGGGGCAGAGGGAGCCCCTGCCAGGCGTCGAGAGTGAATCAGGTGGTCGGGATGTCAGCCGAAATGGGTGAGCAGCACCCTGGTGTTTGATCGAGCAGAAGCCGGGACTTAGTTTGGCCCGGCTATCCTGGCGCCGCTCGGGCGGGGTCACGCCTGAAATCAGCGCGCACCGGCAGCGGCAAAGCCGTCGGTGAGGTTGATGGAGGCGCGGAAAAAAAAGAAGAAGAAAGAACGGAGCAACAAGCAGTCAGGACTGCTGGCCGTCCCCGCCCGAAAGGAGTCGACGGCCGCAGGGAGGCGTGACAGAGACAGCCTGCGGGGCGCCTGGCGCAACAAGTGCCTGAGAAAAGACCGGCATCCAAAGGGTTTGCCGAGCATGTCGCCGCCAGGGGAAGGCTGATATAATTCCAAAGGTGCGAGCAGTCACGGAAGAAGGGCTCCAGCCAAGTCAGCTCAGCACCCGTAGAGACATCAGGGAAAGATGTCGGTCGTGCGACAGGACGGATTCAGAGGCGGGGCCGTTTGATGCCCTCCCAGAACAGTCCCCGCCCTTGGGACCGAAGAGCAATCGAGCAGTAAAGGCAAAGAGGCGGAAAGAGGGGACACGGCCATCAGGAGAGGGGACATCCAAAAGAAGGAGGGCCCCACCAAGTGTGGTGCCTCGACTCGAGACGAGAGCGATCTCAATGGCCCGGGCAGGTATTAGACGGGATTGGCTGCGGTGTTCAGGAGCGAAGCATGCGGCCAGCCTTGGAACTCCGAGCAGAGTGGATCTGCCAGCGCATCGGTGAAAACTAAACAAGGGAACCTAAAGCACCAGGAAGGCTCACAATGTGTTACTTAAGCTACTTTATGAAAAAACTGAATAGGATGTAAAAAATAGAGACAAGATAGTTTTTAAACAAATGATTCAACTAAATGCACAAAAGCAGGGCTTTTCTGCCATATAATTGAGCAAGAATGTATGACTTTTGTGTAAATAATACGCATAATTTTATGGTGTCTCGGATTTATTTTGCCATTTTCTGTTTGGCAGGCTTCAAGTTGCCCTCCCCTACTGCTTCCCAGTCCGGTTTCTCAGTGCCTTCCTCACCTTCCTCCTCCCGGCCTGTTTTTTTTCTCCTCGCCCTCTCCGCCCTCGCAACAGGCGATCCTTTTCCTCGGCTCTCGCTTTCCCCCCACGCGCTGAGTACCGCTCGCGTATTGCCATGCCTGGCTCCCCTCACACCTATGACAATGAGTTTTGATGCCGATGCCCCTCCCGGCGAGCCGGCCTCCTGCCAGTGTGACTGGTTTTTCCGCTGCTCCTCCCTGGAGTCCAGTACGCAGTTGCTTGCGAGCCCCTTCGCCCCCTACTCTCGGCTGACCGCCCTTCTGACGACTTTCCTCCCTGCTGTTCGTACTTTCCCCCCCCCCCCCCCTGGCCAGAGCTCGTCCAGGCCGGTGAGCTTGGTTTGCAGTTGGTGGGCGACAATGAGACCCTGCGCCAGGAGAACCAGCAGCTCCTGGACCGGGTGAAGGCCCTGACCCTGTCGCAGGAGACCGGCGACAAGGAGGTCGCATCTCTGCGTGGGTCACTGCGCCTGTCGCAGGAATCGCTGACCGCCTACGCCGACCGGATTAACCAGCTGGAGACCGAGCTGGCCGAGGTCCGGCAAGCCGGCACCGAGGCCGCCAAACAGCAGCGCACCGAAGCCGCGGCCCTGGCCACGCAGCTGGCCCAAGTGGAGCGGGAGCGCTCGGCCCTGGAAGCCGAGTGCGCCTCTCTTCGTAGCCGGGCCGGGCAGCTGGAGCAGCGTCACACCGAGCAGCAAACCCTGCATCGGGACGCCGAAACCCAGATCTCCCTGTTGGAGGGAGATCTGGCGGCCGTGCGCGAGGACCGCGATCGGCAGGTTGCCCGACGGGACTTGCAGATCATGGAAGCCGAGTCCCGCCTGGCGCGAACATCACAAGCAGATGCGGCTCTGATTGCGGCGCTGCAGGAGGAGCTGGCGGCCGTGCGTGAGGCGGCCGACGTGGCCGAGGGCCTGTGCGCCGAGCTGGACGCCGAGCTTCAAACCGCTCGTGACAGCCTCAGCCAGATGGCCGACTCGCAGGCAACCGCGCAGCTGGAACTCCTGGGCGAGCGCAATGGCATCGGCATCGTTGGCGGCGTGCAGGACGGCTTCAGCATCCTGGCCGATGTCGATGACCAGCGCCGGCAGGTGGCCGAGCAACTGTCGGAATTGGCGCAGAAGCACCGGACGCTGGCGGCCGGGCGTGCGCGCGACGCCGTCAAGCGCTCGGCCCTTCGCAAGCAACTGGCCACCGCACGGCAGCATGCGGCGGCGGCAGCGGCCGCCGCCGAGGAGGCCAACCACAACGCCGCCGCGGCCGGTGTGGCGGCTGCCTCCCTGTCAGCCGGCCCGACCAATGATCTGCTCGTCGAGGAGGCGGCCGCGCTGCGCCGCGAGCTTGACCGATATGTGCGCGAGTCGCGTGTTCTGCGCGCCGACAATGACTCCCTTCGTGCGGAGATGGCGGCCTTCCGGCGGTCGAGCGCCGCCGCTGGCGACATCCGGGTAGGCGGGTCGCTGTCGCCGCTGCGCCCGGCGCGGGTGCTCGCCCCGCGCCCCGGGCCACTCCCGGCGGAAGGCTACCCCGCCACCGGGTCGCCAGCCGTCGGCGGCACCTCCAACGCCCTGGACCACGAGTCGGCGGCATTTCGCCAGCTGGAGCGTGCCCTGCAGGCCGAGAAGAACCGCTCCACCTCGGCGCGCTTGGCCCTGGCCGCCGAGTCGCAGAAGGTCCGGAAATGCGCGAGAAAGAGGACCCCCGCCCTCACCTGCACCCTCTCCCCCTGCCAGCTCTGACACACGTGAACACCCTCGCTCCCCTCCGGCCCAGGTACGGTCCCTGATGAAGAAGCTTTCGCAGCTTGGCGGCGCTGGCCCGCTGCCGGGCACCCCGGTCGCGGCTGTCGCGACGCCCGGAACCCCGGGGCTCATGGCGCCCGGCACCCCGGCCACCGCCGGCAGTCTGTACCGGACTCCAGGGCTCCCGGCCAATCGGTCGGCCCTTGGGCATCGCATCCGGCCGGACGCCGGGGGCCCGACAGACTCGCCGTCCACCGCCCTGCGCGGTCTGAGTCTGGCCCCGGCAGACAGCCCACCGACCGGCGGGG